TAAGCGATAAAAATATATAATAATAAATTCATGTTTTACTTGTTTTACAAATCCATATACTTTTATTAAAACTAACATGTATACTTTTTAATTACGAATTCTATTAAAAATTGTATTTGTCAGTATACGCAGAAATAGTCCATTAGTACCAAAACGAATTGGCGCTGCTGTCGCGCACGGAGCCAATAAGAGCACGTCAAAATTTCCCAAAAACGTTTATTTATATATCTATATTTATATTATCTTACTTTTGCTAATTTCCACATATCTAGCCAGCAGTTGGAGTCCAGGTGTTTCAGTACGAATTTTTCTTTGAGGAGGATTTTGTTGAGTAAAATTTGCATAATTTGTAAACAACAGAACGTTCTAAAAAATCACCTTGTGTGGTATTTGGAAAGATTATTTAACAATATGAACAGAACTTTTATTTGCTTGGTTTCCGTAAGATGAAGTCGATTCTGTAATTAAAATGCACATTTTAACAACAAAAACAATGTTGTACATTTTTCCTAACTTTTTAATAAACTTTACATTGATCTTTCGCATAAATCATTGATACGTTACTCTGCTAATGAATACATTTTTTTAATTCCAATCATGATTGAGATACAGTTTGTAATGATTGGCGTGTGTTGGAATAAAAAATAATTTAACATTGGTTGGTTGAGATGTTAAATAGTCTGGTTAATCCACTGGTCTTTTTTTATTCTTGCTGACTCTCAATTTTCGTATAATAAAGTTTCTGTAGTTTATGACCTGGGGCCCTATTCTCGAATGTCTATTTCTAAATATCACACGCGACATTGATGAAATGTCAAATAAGAACGCAAAAACGTATTCTGGAATAGCGAATTCGACATTTGTTGTTAGACATAAAGTCGAGTGGTATTCAACCAGTCGACATTGTAATGTCGCATGCCTTTTTAAATATAATGTTATGAGTGTCGTGACAGTGACAGTTTATATTTATTTTTAAGAGAAATGAAAATAAGTAATGTACAAATTGTTTTTGAAAATATATGAAATGATTCCTAATTTATCAATTATTAGTCCTGTCCAGTATCGGATTGGGCCGTCGGTCTACCGGCAAAAGACCGGTAGGCCTTCGTTTAAGCTGTGGGCCCTCTTTCAGGCAGTGGGCTCTCTTTCGGGCAGTGGGTCCTCGTTCGGGCATTGGGTCCTCGTTCAGGCACTGAGCCTCAATCAGTGGACCTAATTCAGTGAGCCTAAGTCAGTGGACCTCAGTCTGTGGACCCTTGAGAATAAGAAATGCGAAATAAACCTTGGAAAAAATGAGGATGAACACAGTAGTTCACTTCCAACTAACAGGTCCCGGAGAGGCAAAAGAATCTCTGAGTCTGAAGCAAACAGGAGAGGGATAAGCTGCAGGCAGGCAGTGCTACGGCAAACGCTACCCTCAGCAAACCCCCTCACTCCAAACAAAACAAAAGAGGACTAATCAAGTCCCTAGACAGCGACGCTAGTTCAGCCTCCACAAGAGGCTGGAACACGACGCAACTAGGGACAAGAAAAGAGGTAACGCCCTGGAAGGTGAAAAACCCAGACAACACCACAAAGTTCTGTCTGGGATAAGCTACAAGGATGCAGCTACGAGCCACCTGAAAGTAGCTATAATAGACAAGGATAACCCTTACGGTAAGATAACTACCGAAAGAGAAATCCTTGTCAAAAAGACACTGATGAGAGAGCTGGACAAAACAACCTTGTCCGCCTCCTGCAGCAAAACCAAGCCACCCACATTCAGGTCTTGGTCGCACTCTGGTGAAATTATCAGAGTAACCTGCAACGATAACCTGACGTTGGAATGACTAAAAACCAAGGTACTAACCTTAAAAACATGGGAAGGAGCAACACTCGCAGTTGTAAGGATGGACGAGCTCCCCAAGCTCACCAAAGCCTCTCTCTGGATTCTAGGGGAAGCGCAAGCTGACTTTTACTAAAAAGAGGTTGCGCTTAGGCGAGTTGAAGGGCAAAACCCAAACTTGCATGTGGCGAAATGGTGCACCTTCCACCATGAAATCAGAAAAGACCCTAAGGGCCATCTTTTCTTCTTCGGCATGGGAGACGAAGACATGGGAACCCTAAAGGCCAAATCAATGAAGATGAGCTATGCGTTCACCTCATTGACTATATAAGGCCAACGGTCGAAAAAGAGGCTGAAGCGGGGCCCAGTAAGTAATTGTCTACTGTAATATACTCGTATTGTACATTTCTATCCAATGTTGTCAGATGTTATCATTCGCCAAATATGTCACCGATTTTAAAATCTCTATTTGTCTTTGAGAATAGGGATAGTGTCAGTCGATCAACATTTTAATAGACATTAGCAGTAGACATTATGACTAATGCGACATTTTTAATAGACATTCGAGAATAGGGCCCCTGACTTTCTTTTTCATGTTTAAATTAAGCAATATAATTTCGTTTATTTAACCAAGCAATTGTTCACGGGCCACACGAAATGGTCTCGCAGGCCATAAATGGCCCGTGGGCCGCTATTTGGGAACCCCTGCTCTAGAGTAAACTAGGAAAACGATCTAAGAAAATTAGTCTACTCCCGTGTTAAATTATCTGAACGCGATCCTCGTCAGACTCTACTTCGTTGAACTAAAGATAACTGATTAACTATTATAATAGATATGCTGATTCAATAATTATCACAGTCAAAAACAACGGCCGTGTTCAGTGGTTCAGTTATATAATATTTACATCATTATGTTGCGCCACGCTGGTTCAGCTTTCCTTGCTCTGTTGCGAGATTGAAGCTCTGCTGGCCTATTTTAATATTTTTATGTTTTGGCATTTTGTGAGGCCCCCTAAATATGAGGCACTAGGCTAGCGCCTAGTGTGCCTAGTGGTAAAACCGGCCCTGTATAGACGCATTTAAAACATCTTCTGGATATTAGCGTACATCTTCAAAACGTCGTGAACAAACTATTTAAGATGTCTTTAAAACGTGTCTGTGCTATCTGGAATGTGGTAAATGTCCAAGAAATAAAAATAAGAAGACCAGATTTCTTTTTGTTGATTGCAGCGGCAGTTGCACTGTGTTTCCTTGCTTAGATTGCGCCCAATTAAATAAACTTTACTAGAAATTCGATTTTGTTTATATTTTATACCTTTCAAAATAATATAAATATTTAATATTTAAGTACTATATTTAGACTAGAGCTAGTCTAACCTTTATGATTTACCGTTCATGAAATTTAACTTTCGTGTTTCTAATGTTTACGTATTAACATTGACGAAATAAATTTAATTCTAAAATTAAAATCATAGGAATAAAGAAGTCTACAATTTAGAAAGATTAGAATCTAAATTCGCGAAAGTTTTTCGAAGAGATTAAAAGTAACTATCGATAAATTAATAGGATTTGCCATCTATTCTATAAGTTTTCATTGTCAAATACTTAATCTAAGACAAAATTTATTATCTTTATATAAAGTTTTAGGTCTCTCATTTCTCACAGGAATTATCTTAAAAGAAAAAGTAAGTCTTCTTAAAAACCATTAAACTAGAAGATTGTGTAAGCGATATCAGAGAGGTTGAATTTAGTCGGCAGTAAACTTCTCGCCATTATGAAAAGGTAAAAACAATTCTGTCCATATATTATAGACTAGTGGGAACTTGATTTCCATCTTTTATAGGGTTGCATCTCCCTTAATATTAATTTGTGTATCAATTATATGGTATATAATTTTGTACCACCTTGTATGCAAGATGAATCAAAATTGCCAGGCAGTACTTCTAGGAGTGTTAGAATATCTAATAATAAGTAATATTGGTCACGTCACGTCACGTCTAATTACATTAAGGGTGCAATAACCCCCTAGAAAAGGCTTCACCTGGTATTCGCTCCGTGCGAAGTCATGGAAAGGGAAGCAAAAGCGATACTAGCGCTAGCTGCGGATAATTCGTGCATTTTAGGGCGATATTTTGTAATTTTAGCATATCAAAATACATGTATTCATTTTACTTTTTTTCAAAAAAGTGGGTAAAAACAATACAATAAGCAACCGGAGTTGCTGTGTTGAAAATTGTACAAATACTAGCAAAAAAACAGTAAAACTTATATAAAAAAATTCAGTAGCCAAGTGGAAATTAAATCAAAGAAATAAATGGATAGGTGTACAATAAGAAGAAAAATTACCTTTATTTTTGTAATAATAACAGTAATGCTGGAAATAGTAGACATCAGAAACTTGAAAGGTTTTATATAAACAATAAATTATCATTTTACGATGTTCTTTTATATCCCTTTATTCTTAAATATTCATTCAGCAAGGACTAGATTTCAAGATTTCTGCCTTTGATTATTATATGTGGCTGGAATGCAATTTTGTGACTTACTGATGGGAAACCAGTTTTAATCATTATTCATTCTGTTTTCTTTCGAACAAAAATGAAAATATAAATAACGATCCTTTTTTTTATACATTTTAACTTTACGCTATTATTAAATGGTATTTTTTATTTTGATAGAATAGGCTAATTCTATAATGACAACTTATTAGACTAGGCAACTGCTTCTACATTTTCCAGTAAATACTGTTGCCTGCCTATATTTTATTATTGATTTTTATTGATTATACACAATTTTCTTCAATTTACGCGATAAAAATATATAATAATAATAATAAATTAATGTTTTACTTATTTTACAAATCCATATACTTTTATTAAAACTAATATATATACTTTTTAATTACGGATTCTATTAAAAATGTTATTTTTCAGTATACGCATAAATAGTCCATTAGCACTAAAACTAATTGGCGCTGTTGTCGCAAACGGAGCGAATAAGTCTTTATTTATATCAAAATTATGGAAATATAGAATTTATTTTTAATCTCATTTTTTACACTTAGGTCAAATCATACAAATATTATACGATGATATGAAGTTCGATCTTAATTATATTTCAGACGTCTGTGCTTATTCATATTATTTTCAGGTTAGGTATTTAAATATTTTCTAACCTTAAAAAAACTCCGGCTGACCCCCTGGCCTATCCACAAATGCGGTGGTTTAGGAAAATTATTGTCCGTCACCACGGGCATCAGCATCCTCTTGAACAAAGATCTGCAGTCCACGAAAACTTCCACCTGGAGGCCACTTATTGTCACAGCTACTTTGTGCCAGTTGTCGTCAGCCAAATAGTATGGAAAAGTTTCTGTGTAGGCTTTGGACCCGGTGGTATAATATAACCTAAGCTCGTTATGTCTTCCGCTTGACTGTAGTTCCAATGATCTGAAAAAATTTAAAGTTTGAATTACTTTTGGTTCCTTCTAGAGTTTCTTAATAAAGATAACGACCGGATTTAAAAACCCATATAATTAGCAATACTTTCGTTAAAAATACCAGTAACAATATCACTTAAAGGAACATGCTTATCTATACAGATAGCAGACAAGCACTACTCACCCTGGACAGACTACGAATTTACTCAAGGTTAATATCAAGTCTTGGCCGAAGCATCCATCAACAATTTAGTCACCTTAGAAGGTACTCGTCTTATCGATTCACTAGCCAAGAAGACAACCAACTGATTATTGTTTAGAGCTGGCCATTTCATTGGAATAACAACATCAGTCGTGACAAACCTAATTAAAGAATATTCTCTTGTGAAATTCAAGGAAAGGTGGGATGAAACAAGAAACTGCAAAGTTTCTTTAAAGTTATTATAGCTACAAGTACTTGTCTGTGACAAGACAGAATCTACGTCTGATCACAGGCATTCTTATTGGTAATTACCAAGTACAGAATGACCTCCTTAGTATAGGGCTATTAGACTGCAGGGAGTGCTACCAACAATATGAGACTAACGAGCACAGAGCACATTATCTTCCATGATTGCCTGACTCCCTCATCTATTAGGACATTTGTGTTCGGCGAGTATTGGCTAACATCGCCATATGAGATGCACCTCTAGGTTACATTGTGGCATTAAGTGGCAACTCACTCTCACCACCTTAAGGTACAGATAGATATCAACAATGATATTGATCAATGGTAAAGGAACTTAATTTATTTGGATAATGGTGGAGGCATAGCCAAACTAAAAATTCAAAAGTCGATCCAACCTGATTGATTTTGGAGAATATTGTTACATTCACTGATTTAAGAAATGAGCCAGTATTCTGTATGAATTACATACTAATCTATACAGGGTGTTCATTAAATAATGGGCCAAACTTCAGATGTGGTTAGTTTGGACAAAAATAAGTTCATTTAAGCTAATTTACCTTAGTGGAATTTTGCTTGCTTAAGAAGTTACAGGGTGGAGAGAATAATTTTTTTTTTCAATATGTTTCCGGTAATTCAAATAATTTTGAGTAAATATACGCAAATTTTATGAAAGTAAGTTTTTTTACAAACGAATACCAGCTTTTTTGTTGCATTGCATGTACAGGGCGTTCTAAACTGGCGTGCCAATCTAGTATTTACTTCAGATTTTTTTAAGAATGGACATTTTTGAAAAATAATTTATTATTTTGAAAAGGCGTTCAATTTGCTTTAAAAAAGGTATACATGTTGCATGTCGCTAAAATGCATCATTTGAAGGAAAACTTAAATTAAAGTTAGTACTGCAAATGTATGGATTACTCCATAATTTCTCAATTTAATAATGTTAAATCTAGTAGGCAGTTGCCAAATGTAGTAGCACTGTCAGAATTAGTCTTACATACAAGCATTAGAGTTTGGAGTGATAAAATTCGATATTTTTATACAATGCCGCGACATGACGTTTTCTCAAACAGTGAAATGACCGATATGATATCAGTTTACGCTTTAGCAAGACGTTACACAGATTTGTATCCTAATCGTAGACAGCCCAACCGAAAATTGTTTTCATGTCTATTCAGCAGATTAAGAGAAACTGGAAGTTTTCGCATAAAAAGAGAACTTTATTAAATATTTAGTACATACTGAAACAACGCAAAAATATGACAACATAAATGAAGGAATATTTAAAAATAACAAATTAAAAACTTAACAATTTCAAACTAAGAACAATACGAGTAGCAAAAGCGAAAAATTCATTTCATCCGGCAAACGTGATAATGTGGGTTCGACTCTCGCCAATGACAGCTTTTTTTTCAAATCTACATATATTTGTTTTTATTTGGGGTCCGGGGATGATGTTAATAATTCGTAGGGGGATTTTTGAGATTTGTTTCCGAATTTTTAAATTTATTTATCAAATTATTTTTTCAAAATGTCCGCCATTTACTTCTACATCTTTTCAAGAAATTTTTTCTAACTGCAAAGATATTTTATATTTTATATATGTTGAGATATTTGTAACTACCAAATTACAATACCAACCTTTTTGGAAAACACTACACAAGGTGAGTAATTTTATAAATTAAAGAGGAAAAACTGCGAATTAAAAAACTCGTTTACCGTCTAAAATAATTATTATAAATGAATTAACATTTTTACATGGTAATATAAGTGTGTGTAAACGACACTGTATGGTTATAAAAAATAAACGGAATCAGCCAAAAAGTTGGTTTAATGAGTGTAGCTAATTAACAATATGCCCTGTATATTGTGACTCTGTGTAGAGAGATAACAGATCGGTCAAATAAAGTATTGTATTGCTATAATAAAACAACAGTGTTAACAAGTATATTTTCACGAGTTAATTCATGTTTCTATAACTTGTGTTTTATTTGTATGGGATTAATTTTCTGCTGATTTTTTCGTTATATTTGTTTTTTTTTTTTTGATGTCCTACTAAATTTTAATTATTGTTTTAAATAGCATTGCTTGTTACACTATTTTTAAATTTGTTAAAAAAGAAAACATCGTTTGAATTGTACCTACATTTCTTTCACTAAACTATCTTTATCTTAAGGAAAAATTATTCTATATCATTGTTCACCTGACATTTAACTGTGATTAGAAAAAAATGAAAAACATTGCCAATTTTCTATAAGTATGACCAAACCTTTTTTCTCATCCCCACAATATTTGGTTAATAAAATAGTCTTTTCTTACCTATTGATTCCATGAGAAAAAGAAATGATGGTTCCTGGGTTTCCAGGAAATTGTTTCAACATAGCGACGATGGTAAATTCTGTAGATGAAAGTAAAAAATCGGAAGCTTGCCTGAATGCAGATGGAGGTAACCTTAAATCTCTATCATCCCCTGAAATGAAAAAGAAATAGTATGGTAAAAAAGTATTTCCAAATACCAGAAATTGAACAAAGTATTCGTAAAAATTGTTTTAAATTTGAATATTAATGATTAAGAACAACTTATATGTAACGACATCCATTCCTCTGTCCAAATGTCGTCTGGACGTTATATTATATTATTATTATTATTATTATTATTATTATTATTATTATTATTATTATTATTATTATTATTATTATTATTATTATTATTATTATTATTATTATTATTATTATTATTATTATTATTATTATTATTATTATTATTATTATTATTATTATTATTATTATTATTATTATTATTATTATTATTATTATTATTATTATTATTATTATTATTATTATTATTATTATTATTATTATTATTATTATTATTATTATTATTATTATTATTATTATTATTATTATTATTATTATTATTATTATTATTATTATTATTATTATTATTATTATTATTATTATTATTATTATTATTATTATTATTATTATTATTATTATTATTATTATTATTATTATTATTATTATTATTATTATTATTATTATTATTATTATTATTATTATTATTATTATTATTATTATTATTATTATTATTATTATTATTATTATTATTATTATTATTATTATTATTATTATTATTATTATTATTATTATTATTATTATTATTATTATTATTATTATTATTATTATTATTATTATTATTATTATTATTATTATTATTATTATTATTATTATTATTATTATTATTATTATTATTATTATTATTATTATTATTATTATTATTATTATTATTATTATTATTATTATTATTATTATTATTATTATTATTATTATTATTATTATTATTATTATTATTATTATTATTATTATTATTATTATTATTATTATTATTATTATTATTATTATTATTATTATTATTATTATTATTATTATTATTATTATTATTATTATTATTATTATTATTATTATTATTATTATTATTATTATTATTATTATTATTATTATTATTATTATTATTATTATTATTATTATTATTATTATTATTATTATTATTATTATTATTATTATTATTATTATTATTATTATTATTATTATTATTATTATTATTATTATTATTATTATTATTATTATTATTATTATTATTATTATTATTATTATTATTATTATTATTATTATTATTATTATTATTATTATTATTATTATTATTATTATTATTATTATTATTATTATTATTATTATTATTATTATTATTATTATTATTATTATTATTATTATTATTATTATTATTATTATTATTATTATTATTATTATTATTATTATTATTATTATTATTATTATTATTATTATTATTATTATTATTATTATTATTATTATTATTATTATTATTATTATTATTATTATTATTATTATTATTATTATTATTATTATTATTATTATTATTATTATTATTATTATTATTATTATTATTATTATTATTATTATTATTATTATTATTATTATTATTATTATTATTATTATTATTATTATTATTATTATTATTATTATTATTATTATTATTATTATTATTATTATTATTATTATTATTATTATTATTATTATTATTATTATTATTATTATTATTATTATTATTATTATTATTATTATTATTATTATTATTATTATTATTATTATTATTATTATTATTATTATTATTATTATTATTATTATTATTATTATTATTATTATTATTATTATTATTATTATTATTATTATTATTATTATTGACGAAAGATTATCCATATTCTCAAATGTGGTCGAGTTATTCAAACGAATCATACACAAAATCTGTACCACATAAACAACTTTATTCAATTTTTTGATTAAGCGACTAGTTTCGGCCAACTGGCCATCTTCAGGCCTACAATATAAGAACTTATGTCTAAGGAGAAAAAACATACAGATCAACAATACTTACATTCATATAATGTAAGTATTGTTGATCTGTATGTTTTTTCTCCTTAGACATAAGTTCTTATATTGTAGGCCTGAAGATGGCCAGTTGGCCGAAACTAGTCGCTTAATCAAAAAATTGAATAAAGTTGTTTATGTGGTACAGATTTTGTGTATGATTCGTTTGGATTATTATTATTATTATTATTATTATTATTATTATTATTATTATTATTATTATTATTATTATTATTATTATTATTATTATTATTATTATTATTATTATTATTATTATTATTATTATTATTATTATTATTATTATTATTATTATTATTATTATTATTATTATTATTATTATTATTATTATTATTATTATTATTATTATTATTATTATTATTATTATTATTATTATTATTATTATTATTATTATTATTATTATTATTATTATTATTATTATTATTATTATTATTATTATTATTATTATTATTATTATTATTATTATTATTATTATTATTATTATTATTATTATTATTATTATTATTATTATTATTATTATTATTATTATTATTATTATTATTATTATTATTATTATTATTATTATTATTATTATTATTATTATTATTATTATTATTATTATTATTATTATTATTATTATTATTATTATTATTATTATTATTATTATTATTATTATTATTATTATTATTATTATTATTATTATTATTATTATTATTATTATTATTATTATTATTATTATTATTATTATTATTATTATTATTATTATTATTATTATTATTATTATTATTATTATTATTATTATTATTATTATTATTATTATTATTATTATTATTATTATTATTATTATTATTATTATTATTATTATTATTATTATTATTATTATTATTATTATTATTATTATTATTATTATTATTATTATTATTATTATTATTATTATTATTATTATTATTATTATTATTATTATTATTATTATTATTATTATTATTATTATTATTATTATTATTATTATTATTATTATTATTATTATTATTATTATTATTATTATTATTATTATTATTATTATTATTATTATTATTATTATTATTATTATTATTATTATTATTATTATTATTATTATTATTATTATTATTATTATTATTATTATTATTATTATTATTATTATTATTATTATTATTATTATTATTATTATTATTATTATTATTATTATTATTATTATTATTATTATTATTATTATTATTATTATTATTATTATTATTATTATTATTATTATTATTATTATTATTATTATTATTATTATTATTATTATTATTATTATTATTATTATTATTATTATTATTATTATTATTATTATTATTATTATTATTATTATTATTATTATTATTATTATTATTATTATTATTATTATTATTATTATTATTATTATTATTATTATTATTATTATTATTATTATTATTATTATTATTATTATTATTATTATTATTATTATTATTATTATTATTATTATTATTATTATTATTATTATTATTATTATTATTATTATTATTATTATTATTATTATTATTATTATTATTATTATTATTATTATTATTATTATTATTATTATTATTATTATTATTATTATTATTATTATTATTATTATTATTATTATTATTATTATTATTATTATTATTATTATTATTATTATTATTATTATTATTATTATTATTATTATTATTATTATTATTATTATTATTATTATTATTATTATTATTATTATTATTATTATTATTATTATTATTATTATTATTATTATTATTATTATTATTATTATTATTATTATTATTATTATTATTATTATTATTATTATTATTATTATTATTATTATTATTATTATTATTATTATTATTATTATTATTATTATTATTATTATTATTATTATTATTATTATTATTATTATTATTATTATTATTATTATTATTATTATTATTATTATTATTATTATTATTATTATTATTATTATTATTATTATTATTATTATTATTATTATTATTATTATTATTAATTATTATTATTATTATTATTATTATTATTATTATTATCAAGTAGAATATCGACTAGAGAACTTTCAAATGCGCATGTACTGGCAAAGTCTCTTAAGTGACATACAATGCAAAAGCCTCGAAATTAGTCTGATGCAATACCTCCTAATATATTCACACTATTATTGCGCTCAATAATATCCTAACTACATACATTAACAGGTGTATTCACGTGTTGCTTGTAGCTCTGCGGTAAGTAGATAATCTTTAATGAAAATTAGGCTTTGTTAATTTATTTATAGTAAACAGTGAGAATCTTATTCTTATTACAATAGATCACTTTGCTTTAAACCAGCAAGTAATATTATAGAGAAAACAGTGTATAATGATGGGTAAGTCAAAGTCACCCTTTACCTGCTAGTGGCTTTGCACACCCCTTTTTTATTTTTTATTTGAAAAATTAGACCATTTGAGATATTTTTGCTTAATAATTCTTAAAATATAACTAAATACTAAATTATTGCGATAATGAGAATTTGGATTTGCTTTTAACAACTGAAACTAGGTTTAAATTTTGACAGTGAGTTAAAGTCACCCGACTTTACGGTACTTTTGATTTAGGATACAAGACTGTGCAAGAATGGGTAAACAAAAGCAACTATGGAATGCACCAGCATTCTAAAAGGAAGATAACTGTTAGACAGACTCTAAAGGCCCGCACAGCTTCAAATACTGAAAATATGGACAATTTTCTTGACGAATTGCCCAAATTACCATCGCACTATGCCAGACAAAGTTCATCAAAAATATTTTTGGAACTCTGGTTGAAGTTTACAAGAGATGTAAAATATATTGTGAAGATAACAACTTATAGGATGTGTCTAGGAAATATTTTTACAACAGATTCAAAGACAAACATTTCTCTATATACACTCAAAAAATATCAGTGCAATACTTGTGCTAACAACACTGGAAATCTTTCTGAGTTAAATACATCTCACATGGAAATCGA